TACTGGTTGAATTGAACTGTTTTCATTACTGTAAGGGCATTCATTCTAAACCCCTTTACGCTTTATGTTATTCACTGGGCTTTAGCTCAGTAGGGGGATCCATGACATGTGCTTATATGTACCCCGCATGTGAAATTATTGTTGGGGATATGCATCTGTTTATTGATTTACTGCCATTGAACATTGATCATTTTGACGTAATATTGGGGATGGATTGGTTACAAAAATATCATGCCACTATTGACTGTGTGACCAAGCAAGTTGTTTTCCGTCCACCTGGTTTGCCTGAATTTGTGTTTAATGGTGTGCCTCACTGCGAGGTTCCGAGCCTATCTGTTAAGGCTTAGGAGTGTTTTACAATTCCCCCTTCTGTACTGTCTAACTGTTCTGTATAGACTGAATGTTTACCGTACTGTTATATAGGGTCGAGTCCCTAGTCTGAATGATTGTAAATATTGTGTATACTGTTCTGTACTGTTTTTGTATAATGTATGAAAAGCCTTTTTGCATACAGACTGTCACAGCTCAATGGACACTATTTATTTACTGTATTGGCTTCCGCCAGGCCCTGTACTCTGTTTTACTGTATTACCGTTCTGCAGGCCTTCGGTAATCTCGGATTACTGGCCGGTTACGGTGCTAAACCCATAGGGCCGGGTTTGGGTCGTGACACAAGTAGAGATACAATTCTTCGCCCGGCCGAGGTGTGACTAAGATAAGGGCAGAGGAAAGGTATATTTTTAAGTCTGCCAGTGCACGGTCACATTCGTCATCCCAAAAGAACTTGGCCTTCAAAGTTTTAAAGAAGGGCCTGTAACGATCTGAAGACCGGCTGATGAATCTGTTCAGCACGGCTGCCATCCCGACAAGATGTTGCACATCCTTCGTGGAGTTTGGGCGCTCCAGCTCTTGTATAGCCTTGATCTGTGATGGGTCAGCTTCAATCCCTCGGTTTGTAACCAAAAACCCCAGAAACTTCCCGGTGCCAACTCTGAAGGCGCACTTGGATGTATTCAAATGAAGTTTGTGGCGCTTAAGTATGGCAAACATTTCTGCTAAGTCGGTGAGGTGTTGAGACTTCTCCTTACTCTTTACCACCATATCGTCAATGTAGGCCTCCATTGTTCAGCCCAAAAGAAGAGCGAACATCTTTGTCACCATCCTCTGAAAAGTTGCCCCGGCGTTCTTCAGTCCGAACGGCATGACTTTATAACAATACAGGCCTCTAGGAGTAGTGAACGACGTGATCTCTTGGTCCGGTTTATACATAGCTATTTGGTGGTAGCCGCGATATGCATCCAGGAAGTTAAACCTCTGATGGCCAGCGGTCAAGTTCACCAGCTGGTCAATTCGAGGGAGGGGGAAGCTATCCTTTGGGCATATACGGTTAACTGTCTTATAGTCAACGCAGACTCGCCACTTGCCATTCTTTTTCGGGACTACCACCGTGTTGGATATCCAACGAGGGTATTGCACTTCTTCTATTGCTCCCGCTTCCAACAGATTTTTGACCTCCTCTGCCACTACCTCGGCATGGTGCAGAGCCGAGCGGCGAGTCCTCTGAATGACCGGCTACGCCTTTGGGAAGACGTTCAACTGATGGCAAATGAAGTTAGGGTCGACGCCAGGCATATCGTAAGGCGTCCACGTAAAAGCCTCCATGTTGGAAACCAAGAAGTTGACATAATCTAACCGCTCGGCGCTAGACAAAGATGATCCCTAGAGGAAGAACTTAGTTGGGTCATTCTCATCGACGCGCACTTTCACCAAATCCTCGACCGATTTTTCCTCGGCCTTTCTTCCTACATCGTCAAGGACCTCCTTTCCCTCGGGTCCCTCAATCATTTGGACAAATCCTTTAGCTGCTCGGTTGCCATTTACCGCAACGAAGCATTGTTTCGCCATCACCTGGTCTCCCCAAACTTCCTCTATTTGTCCGTTTGGCGCCGGGAAACACAAGACCTGATGGTAAGTCGACGCTACTGCTTGCATGGCGTGCAACCAGCCCCTGCCTAAAATTAAGTTGTAGGTGGATGGGACTTTGAGCACCCAGAACTCTACTTGCTTTGTTACTGAACCCGCTTTGACTGGCAGTATGGTCTTCCCTACCAGCTACTCTGGCTGAGAGTTGAAGCCAACCAAATGGGACGTCGCAGGGGCCAAGTCCTTGTTCTCCAACTTCATTTGTTTGAACGCATCATAGTACATAATTTCGACCGAACTTCCCTGGTTGATCAAGATCCTCTTGATGTCAAAGTCTTTGACGCGAAGAGTTACCACTAGGGCGTCATTGTGGGGCATCTGGATCCGCTCCAAGTCCCTGCTCGAAAAGGTAAGAATGTCCTTCTCCTCGGTCTTCCCCTTCTTTACAGCGGGCCGAACGGAGAGCACTTCCCTCATGTGCTCGAATTTCTTAATCATCCCTCTGAGCTCGCAGACCCTTGCTGGTTCAACGATGCCATGGATGACGTTGATTACGCCTTGGAGTGCTGCCTCTAGGGCGGCTAGGCCGTTTGGCTCGGTTTGCCCCAATGGCGCGGCTTTCATACCCCCATCTATGTATTTGTCAAGATGCCCCGAGGCCACTAGCTATTCCAAATGTTATTTAAGCGGCAAGCAGTCCTCCGTTCGGTGTCCTCGTTCCTCATGGAAGGTGCAGTGATACCTTGAGTTGAAGCCTCTCTGTGCATTCCCCAACTTGGCCGGCCAGCGAACAAAAGGCTCGCCTCTGATTTCACTCAAGATGCGGTAGATAGGGATTTTAAAGACCGTGGTGATTCCAGTCCGTGCCTTCAATTTTCTCTTAGCATCCTCTGCTGCATCACGAGGAGCGTCAGCTCGGTCGTTTCTGCGACCCTTGTTTCTGTCATCGCGGTTTGGGCCACGTCGTTGATCTTTTAGCCGGTCGCTTGGGCAGTTATCCTCCTGCCCGACCGAGTGAACTTTCCCTGCTACCCTTTTGTCCGCTGCGACCGGATTAACCTTCTCGGTCGCGGAGGCGACATCATCCTCCACACGAATGTGCTCATTGATCCGCTTCATCAAGGACTCCATGGTTATGGGTTGGTGCATTATGAGAAAATCCCGCAGCCTATGTCCGACTAGGAGACCCCGCTTGTATTGAGTGATCGCCAGATTGGTAGGGCAGTCGAGGATTTCGTTGTAAGTTTCCCAGTACTTCACATTGTATGCCTTCAATGATCCCCCTGACTCCATCTTGACGCCCAGAAGATGATCGACCTCCTTCGGCGTTCGAGTGTTGGTTTTGAATCTGGTGACGAAGGCTTCCATTAGTTGCTGCCACCCTCGATACTCCCTTCTGGAAGCCTTTCGAACCATGGGAAGTACGATTGGCAAAAGTTTTTTGGTGGCTGATGAAGATCTGCAGAACAAACAGACATTAGAAGTAGACAAAGTTTTAAAGACTTAGAAATAACTAAGTATTAATAATGGGCTCTTACCCTTGCCCTCTTTAACTGTTCGAGGAAGAGGGTAGAGGTGAACATCTTCGTCTGGGCCAAATTCCCAATTTCCCGAAGCAATGACAAAGTCATCCCCGGCTCCCTTGTTGGAATCCGGGAGGTCGGCTACAATTTTGAACTCGGTAGACCTCGGCTTGAGGTAGTAGACATAACCTCTTTCCTTTAGGTTAAAGGGGCACATGGTATAACAAAATTGGATATCGGCAAGGGTGATCCTAACGTTCTCTTGCCTAGCCAGGGCTATGATACCATTAATCACTCGATAAGAATTGATGGTAAGTTGCATAGGGTTCAACCTATAGAAGTGGAGAACCTCGCGAAAGAGGGGATTAAGTGGAAGCCGGAGTCCACATTCGGTAAAGGCTACAATAGGAAAGGGCATCGTATGATCTGTGAGCATGATGGAATCACCATCCCCAGCTAGCCTAAGGTGAACAACGACTGGGATGGAGAACTCCTGCCTAAAGTATTCGAGTTTTGTTGGGGTATTTACCCAGTGTCTCCACATACCCATTACGTCGGCCTAAACAAAGAAGGCTGTTTAAGAAGATAGGTATTTCAGAAGGGTTAATAGAACCTTGGTTTCAAAACCTGGGTAAGGACTGGTAAGGTTTGTTTTAATTTTCCCTAAAGATTGAAGGTTTTACAGGCAAATCCCAAACCTAAAACTATAAAGACGAAGATCGAGGGCACAGATCTGATAAAGACACAAAAAACAGAGAATAAAAGCGAAGTTTCAGAAACAAGAATAGGGATGGGCTATCAGGAACACGAAGAATGCAAAGGGTTAAGGGTCAAGAACAGTAGTGAAACAGTGCAAGTGTTCATGGCATGTGAAAAAATCATGAAATAAGACACATTCAGGTAAATGATTCACGAATAACGCTTAAACAGAACAGTAATAGCAAGAAACTTCAGAAACAATCAAGAATTAGAAAAAAAGGGTAAGGGGTGCGTACCGGATAAAATGAAGCCGGAGCGATATTCGCCGAGACCAGACGACAGTTGTAACAGTAGCGAAAGCTTCGCGGGAATGGAAGAGTAAGGATGGTCACAGAATTTGGGACTTAGAGTAATGGCAGATTCGAAGAATGCTAGAGCTTTTAGAGGGAGAGAAAACAAGAAATCAAAATGCAAAAAGTGAAGAAAGGAAAAGGGAAAGAAAAGTTTTATCAAAAACTTGAAATGACGGCAAAAACAGGGCATTTATTACGCCTGGAGCAACTCACGCGTCAGACGGCGCAGACGAGTGAAAGATAGCTTTTAGGCTCGTCACAGACACGGGCCAATGAAGACAAAGCACGTGAAAGGAACGGTTAGATGTGCATGACAGCTCATGCGCGTGATGGAGTTCATTTGGATTCTTATTCTCCGAAGAGAATACATCGGCTTGAAAGTGAATTATCTCGGCCAAACAGTTTTTGAACTACTATGCAGAAAGAAATATCAATATAGGTTCCATCACCTCAGAATGTCGAGGTAATAGAACCTAGGGGGCAGTTGTGGGGATATATTTCTTGGGTACCAACACGTGGCATGGGGACGCCGACGTGTTTGGCCGAGGTGCCACGTGTCGTGGAAATTACGCCGAGGTGATCTCGGAGTTGCCGAGGTTATCTCCGAAGATATCGGAATCCGAGATAAGCGGATAAGGGACAAGAGTCCTAGGACAAAGAGGAGACTTAGCCAAGATAAGGATAAAGCTCTTAGGGAGTTTATCTTTATCTCTTGAGAAATCCTAAGTAAGTACTGAATTGAAGTCTATAGAAGTCATGCTTCTAGTAGGACTTGGATTGAGTTAAACTATAAAAGAGAGGCACCCCCATGGGTCTAAGGTACGCAGTTTATACTCAAGCTTGTGAGTTTAGCACTTGATTATCTTTGAGAGATATACTGACTTGATCGTCGGAGTGCCCCCGGGTGGAAGAGCCACTGCCGGAGCCCTTTCTTTTTGTTACAGGTTACTGGAGCCATCTATTCTGCTAGGTTACTGGAGCCATCTATTCTGCCGGTACTCTCCAGCTGATTACTAGATGGGCAGTGTGGTAAGAAAATTACCCACACATTAAAATTTAAAATTTAAGGTGAGAGTTCAAAAAAAAATGAGAATATAAAGAAATTAAATAAGTGTTAGTAACAATCCTCTTTTCATACTTTTTTTTTGTTGAAAAATGTTTTTCTCCAACTTTTTGTACATAAATTACTTTTGACAAAAGTGACCATTGATCTAACTGGTTAGCATGTAGAAATCAAGCAATTAATCAATCCTTTTCACGGCACATCAACACCCCTTATTAGGGAGAGTAACATGAATCCCTAATCTCATAGGCTTATTCTCTTCACACCCCTTATAAGGCAGAGTAACATGAATCCCTAATCTCATAGGCTTATTCTCTTCACACACACTAATAATTCCATGAAACTTTCACCACATTGGCATTTCTATGGCCACTCATAGTCGTTATTTATTTGAGCTTTTGTTTGGGATATAGGTTAGTTTTTTGATTTTTTGACTTTTGGTCTGTTTTAATTTGAGATTAAAAAGTCTCATATAAGATGGGTTTTTTTTATTTTTTTTACTTTTGTGAGAAAAAAATAAAATGATTATGATTTGGATGTGATATTTTATCTTATTAATTTTTTAGTCTATTTTATTTTATTTTTTTACTATTTTAACCAAATATGGTATGCCAAACATAGCCTGACGACAATCATTCAAGGATCCAGAGAATAATTTTGCTTTCCTACTTTAAGATGAGTTGACATAATCCCACCTCCTAATTAGTTCTTTCAAAGTAATAGGCCCACTTAAAATATGAAAATAACTGAGACTGCTAAATCATTACCTTTAATTATTTTATTTTCTTTTATAGATAGATCACCCTTATTTTTTTTTTCTTCTAATGATATAGATTGTTATACGTAAATTATTAACTTGTTTAGGAATCAGTCAATTAAGACTTTACTCCTGTTATGTTAATAAAAATAAATTTAAAAATAATATTTCAAAAATTTATACTATTACTTTTTTTTTTTTTAGGTACAACGGAAATAAAAATATCAACAATGATTCATCCCACTAAAAATATCACCACTAATAGCACTAATGCATTAAAAAAGTAAAAAAAAAAAAAAAATACAACTCCAAGACCAAAACATCACATCATTAGTGACGGGACCTACCGCCACCTAATTAGTGGGAGCACTAATTAGTGCTCCCAAGCATTTTTCTAAAAATTTATACTATTACTCAAAATAATTGTCTAGTTTAAGAAGTTGGCTATTTTTTATAGGCTATTTTTATTTTTGACTATTTTAGTAGGTTAAAATTTTTATATTTAGAAAGATAATTGAATTTTTTTGTAATTAAATATGATGTTTGTAAGAAAAAAAGTGAAATAATTATGATTTTGATGTGACATTTTATCTTATTGACTATTTTAGCCTATTTTATTTAAAAATCAAAAAATCTCTTGCCAAACAGGGCCAATATATCCTAGTGAAAGTAACCAATAAAAGAAAAAATATTGGGTTTGTTTGGTTTGGTTTTGGGAAATAAATTTTTAAAAAAAAATTTGGAGAGAGAGTTTAGAAATTTTTTTGGTTTGTTTGATAAATCTCTTGCCAAATAGGGCCGATATATCCTAGTGAAAGTAACCAATAAAAGAAAAAATATTGGGTGTGTTTGGTTTGATTTTGGGAGATAAATTTTTTTAAAAAAATTTGGAGAGAGAGTTTAGAAATTTTTTTGGTTTGTTTGGTTGTATATTTTGGAAATAGTTTTGGAGTATGGGTGTTTGGAATGATTTGATATTTTGTTGTAGTTAAGTAGATGTGTGTGAAAGAAAAAATGATTGAGAAGGATAGAAGAGAGAGAAAAAGTAATTAATTGATGTGTAGAAGAAAGAAAGTGATTTTGAATTTTTTTTTTTTTCAAAATCACTAAACCAAATGAAATTTTAAAAAAATTTCTCCAAAATTACTCTCTAAAAAACAAACCAAATAAGGCGATTATCTTCATCCATCATATAAAGTCATGAAAACATTATACTCACTACAAGAAAATACAGCTTTGGCGACCACTTTTGTCGACTAAAAATATTTTGGTTGCCAAAAGTTGTGGAATTGGCGACCAAAAATTATGTTAGTCGGTAAAAGTACAATATTTAGCTACTAAAATTTTTTAGTCGGGGTATATTAATTTTTGGCGACTAAAAAAAAATTTAGTCGCTAAAAATCTCACAATTGGGGACTAAAAAAAATTTAGTCGCTAAATTTTCTACAATTGGCGACTAAAAAAATATGTTAGTCGCCGTATGGATAGTTTTGGCGACTAAAATTATTTTTTATCTTTGGCGACCAAAAGTTTGGTCGGCAAAAATTTAATTTCAGCAACTAAAAAATACGTTAGTCGCGGTATAGATAGTTTTGGCGACTAAAATAATTTAGTCGCTGAATAAAAAATAAAAAGTTATTTTTTATCTTTGACGACCAAAAGTTTGGTCGGCAAAACTTTAATTTTAGCGACTACAAAATATTTTGGTCGCGGTATACATAGTTTTGGCGACTAAAATAATTTAGTAGCTGAATGAAAATAAAAAATTATTTTTTGTCTTTGGCGACCAAAATTTTGGTCGGCAAAAATTTAATTTCAGTGATTAAAAAATATTTTGGTCGCTGTATATATAGTTTTGGCAACTAAAATAATTTAGTCGCTGAATGTAAAATAAAAATTTACTTTTTATCTTTCACCCATCACTCTTTCTCTCTCTTTCTGTCTTCTGTCTCTTTTTTTCTCTATATGTCTCTGTCTTTGTCTCTCTTCTCTTTCTCTCTCTCTCTCTCTCTCTCACTCAT